CAGGAGGTGAGAGGAGTCACCAGAGACAGAGTGGGGGGAAAACAGGTGGATCTACAGAAATACACCACTAAGGAGAGCAGTGGTTGAGACAAGAGAGATCTGCTGTACATGTGGGTTAGCTCCCTGGCCAGGGATTGAAATCATGCCTCAGTGGCTGGTGATAGATTGATAGTGCTGAGACTTTAATCCCTGAGCCATCAGAGAGGTCTTGGACAGCTAATTTTCAACAAAGGAATTAAGACCACACAATGGGGAAAAGGTAACCTTTTTAATAAATGGTGCTGGAAAAATGGATAGCCACATGCAAAAAAAAAAAAAAAAGCAAGATTCATATTTAACACCAAACATTAAAAATTCAGTCAAAATGGGTTAAAGATTTGGACAGAAGAACTGAAACCATAAAGTACTTAAAAGAAAATATAGGGGACACACTACGGGCATATACCACAAAGATGTATTTGGGACTATAACCCCAATAGCAAGGGAAACAAAAGCAAAAATAAATAATTGGGACAATATCAAACTTAAAAGATTTTACACCTCAAAAGAAACCATCACAAAAGCAAAAAGGCAACCTGCAGAATGGGAAAAAAAATGTTCTCTTACCATACATCTGATACAGGGTTACAATCCAACAACAAAGAAACAAATGACCCAATTTAAAAGTAAGCAAAAGATCTCAATAGATACTTCTTTAAAGAAGAAATTTGAATGGCCTATAGGCATATGAAAAAATTTGCAATTTCACTTATTATAAGAGAAATGTAAATTAAAACCATACTGAGATACCACCTCACTCCTGTGAGAATGGCTTATATAAAAGACAATGGAATTAACAAATATTGGTAAGGTTGTGGTGAAAAAGAAATTCTCATTCACTGTTGGTGGGAATGCAAACTGGTACAGCACCTGTGGAAAATGTTAGGGAGATGTCTCAAGAAAATAAAAATGGAAATCCCATTTCACCCAGCAATACTGCTATTAGTTGCCTATCCAAATAATGTGAAAAATTTGACATGAAAATATCTATCTGCACCTTTGTACATAGCAGCACTATTTACAATTGCCAGATCATGGAACCAGCCCAAGTGCCTTTCAACAGATGAATGAATAGAGAAACTTTGAGCATATATCCAATGGAATATTACACAGCTGTGAATGAAGATGAAAAAGTTGCATTTGGGACAAACTGGATGGATGTGGGTCTGCTAAACTTAAATGGCCTGTTTGGCCATCATTTTGGTTACATGCAGTTCTATCCTCCAATGCAAGGTCAGAACAACCCAGTCAATCAGTTATATGACCTAAAAGAATGTAGGATACCAGACCCTACAAGGGTCCTTTCCAATTAAACAAGAGCAGGACATCTGATTACCCTGGGACAATGGGTATACATCACGAGGTATAACTGAGAAAGCCCAGGAGGCCACTGACCAATTTGTGACTTTGCATCCCAGAGACTGATCAGCAGGACACCTTATTGATAAGACTGGAACCATGGCTGGGGACCTGGGCTGTGGTTTCCATTACAACACCGGGTCATCAAGTAGATAAAACACCTGGTCAGCAGACTCACCTTCCCTAGAAGTCTTAGATGACATAAGCACATTTTCAGTTTCAGATGACTCTTTGTTCTCCTACCCCATGTAATTGATGCTGTATGATTATTCTGTCAATAAAAAGGCCAAGATCTTGCTCTTTCAGCAGCATACTGCATTGTACAGCCTGCTCCACGACTCCTGTTTTTTTGTCAATGTAGTGTTGTCAATGCAACAGATGGGCCTTGAGGTGATTATATTTAGTGAAATCAGCCAAAAAATGAAAGACAGGATTGCCTGGATTCACTCATCTGTGGACAATAAATACCAAAAAAAAAAAAATACAAGCAATAGAAGAAATAAAACTTTAAACTCAGCATAAAAGAGGATAATATTTACCAGAAGGAACAGGGGAGAGGGTGGAGGAGATTGCAAAGTGAAATAAATGGGGTATGAGCATGGGTGGTAAAATATATAATAATAAATTAGAAAATATCATGCAATGAAAAAAATATGCATTTTTGAAAAGCAAGGGAGGAAGAAGCAATATCAAAAGTTTTATTTTCTTCCTGGTAAGATGTAAGTAAGATGTAAGTGGCCTCCATTGTGCTAAAGAAGACAGAGAAGTTCATTAGTTGAAGGCAAAAGAATGTGATTGCTCTTTTCAAAAGCAAATCTAATCACATAAGGCAAAAGGGTAGCAATTAGGAAAAACAGATATGAAATAAGAGCACAATATGTGTAAAAGGATTTTATTGATACCACAGTTGCAGAACTATCTACATTTTAAGTGTATTGGGTGGGCATAATGTGACCAATTGATCTGACTGATCAATCTAAGGTTATAAATTACCCCCAAATAGGGCCTCCCCTGGTGGCACAGTGATTGAGCGATGGGTTGCAAAGCTGCCCACAGCCTCTGCAGCGCCGGTTCTATCCCCGGCCGCCAGCGAGGGTCCCACATGGCATGACAGACCTCTCCTGCCATGCCTGCTGCTCCCCTCAACAGTGTATTTCATCAGTCTGCCTGTTCTGTTCCCCGCTCTGGCTCTGGTGAATTCTCTCACCATTCCCGTGCTTCTGACTGTACCCAGTGCTTGTATAAATAAATAAATAAATAAATAAACAAACAAACAAATAAATAACTCCCAAATAGATCTATAGATGTATAAAAGATTTAAATGCCAAACAATAAATAGGTAGAAAAATTCCAATTTTTTAAAGTACAGAATGTAAAATAAGATAATTTAGACACCAGTATATAAATTATGCAGAAGACTTTCATAGCAAAGTACAATAATGTAAAATGCCAACAAGCCAAAATATATGCAGCCTAATCAGAAATTTAATAATTACAAAATAAAACTCTTTAGAATTTCTCTTTAGATTTATTTTTAAAATTTTGCATGTGAATACTCAATGTGAGAGAAGATAATATGAAATGTAAGCCTCGTGCATTGCCTTTACAAGGTAACATCTATATCCATCAGTTTGGATCTTTTTAGTAAATACAAAACACTCCATCTTCAAAATTTTCAAAAAAACCTCTCACTTCACTGCACACTCTTTCATACCCAATATTCTATATTCTCATTCCCCCAAACAGCAAAAGCTCTCAGATATGTTCTAATTTTACTGGAATCCTCTTTTTCTTCCTTCTAATTTACAATGTAATCCAACTGGACTTCCATTCCCAACACTTAATTATCAACACTTATACTTGTATTTCTAAGTCAAAGATACACATTCGTACTAACACATTAAATGAATTGATTTTAAATTGATTAAACAAATGAACAGGGACTCTTGTCTCTGTGCTAGGTAAGTTCAGCTCTCGGGTGACAGGTTCCAAGTTCTCCATACATATCCTAAAGTACCTTCCAGGCTCTCAGACTCGCCGAATTGATGGAGTCTTGAGGTCTCTGAGAGGAAGGTCTCTATGTGGGGGTCTGAATTGCTCACTACATCACGATACTCAAACTCTGTTCTCACACGAGATAACAGGAAAGAGTGAAACATCTTTTCACAAGTCAGATTTAGGAGTCAGAAGTGATAACATGTCAACCATGTCGGATAAGCTGAGGGACTACAAGCAAAGGTAACTCCAGTCACTCTATCTTCTCATTAGGCACATTTTCCTGTTACTCCAGCCTCTAAGCACATGATTTCCCTATGGATGTGGTGCAAAAAGAATGAAACCGTCTACTAATGATTCTCTGATCCTAAGAGATTAAAGGGAAGTGAATCCAGATTTTGAACTAATCATTCTTTGTGCTCTTACCTACCTTCCAAAAGTCGAACCTTCCAACATCTCACCCATACTGAGTTAAATACTGAGTTAAACTTTTTTCCAAACACTGAGGTTGAATATCTTGTCAGAACTAGATCCCTTCAATTCTTAAATTGACTCGTGGTGGGGGTTCCACTATTATATCTCCAGAAAATTGCATTTCTCCTTTTCAAAAAAAGTGAGGAGAACTGTGTTCTTTTATTGTAAAATCTAAAGCATCACAATTCTTGGATTCACAACAATTTAGCGAGTCCAATTAGGAATTTTATATTTATATTATAAATTGAGTTTAGAGATTCTGCAATTTTAACAAGCTCTTGGGTGATGCTGATGCTGCAGGTCTTGGTGTGAGGACTATTCAAAAGACTGGTCCTGTGTTGAGTCAGGTATAGGTAGTAGTAAGTCTTTGAACCAAAATTGTCTTTGCATGTCATTTTGAAAGAATAGTGTGTTCACTCATTCCAGAGGCTGTTATAAAATCTGTGTTTCATTATTTTATGTAGAAACCCTTTAAATACTATCAACAACATACTTTCAAAAAGAATTCTTTCTTTTAAGGGCTCTTGTGTGATAGTAAGACCCTCCAAAAGATGTCCACTTCTTAATATCTAATAACTTTGAATTTGTTGTTTGTAATAAGGAATATTAAGGTAGAAGATCAAATAAGGCTACTGACTTTAAAATAAGAAGATTTGTGTGCGTATATATATATATATGTACACACATGTGTGTTACATATCTGTTAGATGCATTAGGTAGGCATGTCTATCTCTAGTCCTCTCTTTGTACATACACTTCTCTATATACACATCTGTTATCTAGATGTGTTAGATCAATGTATCTATCTATTTCTACACATCAAAGTCTATATTAGCCATAAAGTATTAAAATGGAAAAGAATGACAGACCAAAGTAAAAACTGTGGTTTCAGATATTCCACTGAAAGGCAGGAAAATGAACAAAGGCAAAAATTGTGTATGTCAGAGCAGAAAGCATAATGAAGTGAGTTACTTAAATTATACAGAGAAGTTGAGGTCAATGAAATGCAAATTACAGGAAATAAATAGAAAGAACTGATTCTACTTCACAATCAAATCAAAGACTAACAATTTCTGGTTCCTGTAATCGGAGGCACTTTGTCAGATCTAGTGTAAAAGGGGTTTTTGCAGCTATCACCCCACCAGTCTTCTCAGAGCCCTTTTAATGTCCTTATTTCTCAGACTATAGATGAAGGGGTTGAGCATGGGTGTGACCACCGTGTACAACACCGAGGCTATTGCACTTGATTGGGAGCTATTGGGAACAGCAGAGCTAAGAGAAACTCCTAGGATTGTAAAATAAAATAAGGAGACAACTGAGAGGTGAGATGCACAGGTGGAAAATGCTTTATACTTCCCCTGAGCTGATGAGATTCCACGGATGGAGGAAACAATCTTAGTGTAAGAGTAGAGGATACCAGCAAGGGGCCCACCACCCAGCAGCACTGTAGCAAAATACATCATTGTATTATTAAGAAAGGTTTCCGAACAGGCACCCAAGAGTATCTGATTGAGTTCACAAAAAAAGTGAGGGATTTCAAGGACTGTACAGAAAGACAGTCGCAGTATCATTAAACTTTGTAACAAGGAATTCAAGACACCAATGATCCAGGACACCAGAATTAGCAGTCCACAGAGCCGGGGGTTCATGATGACCGAGTAGTGCAAAGGATGGCAGATAGCCACATAGCGGTCATAGGCCATTGCAGATAGGATGAAGTCATCCAGAACTCCAAAGAGTGTGTAAAAGTAAATCTGAGTGATACAGCCTTTGTAAGTAATGACTTTGCTCTTCACCTGAACATTCAGCAGCATCTTGGGGATGGTGGTGGAGGTGAAGCAGATGTCTACAAAGGACAGATTGGCAAGGAAGAAGTACATGGGTGTGTGGAGGTGGGAGTCTGAGATGATGGCCAGGATGATGAGCAGGTTTCCAAACACAGTGATCATGTACATGGAGAGGAAAAGGCCAAATATGAGGGGCTGCAGTTCTGATTCCTTTGACAATCCCAGGAGAAGAAATTCTGAAATGCGTGTATCATTGTTTAGCACCATGTGGTGTTAATGACTAGAAAGATAAAAACAACATAATTTTCACATAGACATTGCTAGCAGAGTGAAATGGTATAATTTATATTTTGCAATTGAGGGTAAACATATATTATAATTTTGTATGAATCTGACATCATTTAAGGAATGTCCCCTAACATTTCAAGGTTTGTAATTACTGTCCCACTGTCTGTTTTTCCAGAGTTCATGTGTTTTAAAGTCTCATAAATTCTTTCATGTATTTAAGGAATATATGTTAAGTCCTGACCATCTTCCAGACAAAAAGTATAGGGTACTGACAAAAACTCACAGCCATGATATAGAAAGAATATTTATAGACAAACAAAAAAAAATCATATACCATATCAGATGATGACAGGTGCTATGTCAGAAAAAAATTTTAGTACAAAACAGAGTATATCAGAATGGGTTTCAGATGTTCAAGAAGATCTGATAAGTTGACATCTCAGCATATACCTCAAGGAGAGCAAAGCAGGAGGCAGGAGGCAGTCTGGGGAAGTGCATGCCCTACTGGGAAAAGAGCCAGTGCAAAGACTCCAAGGAAGCTTCTTGTTCAGATACCTAAATGGATTCCAACAGGAAAACAGTGTGTCCAGGGGCACAAACAAATGCAAGGAGAAAGAAAAGATGGTGTCAGGTAAAGTTGAGCTATCATTGGCGTCCTGAAACTGCTGAAACCTCCAGTCACAGATAATCGCTCATTACCTGTTGATCTTTGTACTTTATTGTGTTCCAAGATATTTTGCACGGGGATCCTTTATTTCCAGCTGCTAGCTAATACCCTGGAACTTGCAATTTAACTGTATGACCACAGTTACTGCTTCCCCAAGAACTGTCCACACCCCACGGAACACGCACAGATTCACACTGTGGTGTTTGTGGCCTGGAGTTGTGTTTCTACCATGAGTCATTTTCACCACCAGTCACAATAATTTTGAAAGAAATAACACAAGGCAAATTGTCAGCATCAAATTATCTGTACACTAACAATTGCATGAACAGTGCCCACGTGCTGGGTGGTGAGCCGCCCATGACATGTAAACATTAATATGACTGTTTTGAGTCCTGTGTTTAAAAAACCTAAAAATTTCCAAAAATTCAAAGGAAAAAATGGGGGACATAATGGGAGTAATCAGTTCTAATAAGATCAGGAGTTCCCTGAGACATTATGAGAAGGAGAAAGGCCTCAGTGTTTCTGGCAGCATTCCAAGAAATGCATACCCCCTGGGTACCCAGATAACTAATAAAGTCCTAAAAAAATATGTATCCAAGGAAAAACTGAGTCATATGTTTACAATTGCAAAATATCTTACTGACTGACCATCCCACTAGAAAAACAAGCAAAGGGAAAAAAATATTTATAATAGAAAATATGCAGTATGAAACAACAGAGGGAAATTTTTTAACATTAAATGGTATAAGATATTTCTAAATGATTTTAAATACAAACATTTTGGAACCAGAAAGCTGACATTTGAATCTCAGTTCTACAACTTATTAGTTGCATATTCCCACTGACATAATGGAGACAGTGGCATCTATCCTCAAAGGAGGTCAACAAATTTAGTCAATATATGTGGAAAATTTAGCACATTTTTTTTCTATTACTAAATGAGTGGTTCTCATTGGTGATGAGATTCAGCTAATTATTTTTCTACCTCTGAAAAATCTTCATTGCTTCTCCATCTCCTGATATCAAATAATCACAAAGGAAGCTTGTTAGCATCCCCTTTTTGCATATTAATTCCATTTTTTCAGGCAAATACCCAAGTGAATGATGATACAGTGAAATGTATGTCTCAAGAATTAATATACTATTTACTTCCATGGGTCTGGGATTTTTAATAAATACAGAACATGCTCAAATACATTTTAAGACATTTTTTAAAATGTCTTCAGCTCACTGCACAAGCCTCTAAATCTAATATTCTATTTTCTTACTCCCCTTAACTGCAAAACTTCTCTAATATGTTCCAGTTTTACTTGAGGCACTTCATGCCTCTCCTTCCTTCCTCAATTTCATCCAACTAGACTCCCATTACCATCACTTAATTGTAATACTGCTCCTTTGAAAAAGAAAATATATGTAATACAGTAATTACAAATTAATTATTAACCTTACCAACAAACATGACCATCTCTGGCCTCCAGGCTAGGAAAATTAAGCTCTCAGTTGACCTCGGGTCAAAATTATCAAGTTCTATTTTCTCTGATCTTGCTTGAAGTACCTACCGGACTCTCAGACTCACCTGAATGGGGTCTCTGAGAGGAAGGTCACCCTATCTAAGTCTAAAATCCTCCTTGGAAGGTGAATGATGGAACAGAAGATCAGTTCTCAGAAAGGACTGTAAGAAGGAGCAAAGTATTGGTCACTGACCTAGAATTAAGACTTCAATGGCAATAACCATGTCATGTCCACCTCAAGGTTGCACATGCTGAGGGACCACAGCAGAAGGGATATTTGAAGAGCTCTCTGTCTGCTCATTAGGCACTGTTTCCATGGTTCCTCCCATCTCTGAGCACATTGTTTTCCTGTGGGACACTGGTCTGAACAGAAAGGGAAATACAGTTGCTGATATTCTGTCCCCAGGAGATGAAGTTAGAAGGAAGGTGAACCCTACGTAGAAGTAAGGTGAACCAGTTTACTTTACTCCTTCTCATGAACTGACCTGCCTTTCAGAAGTCTAATCTTTTTGCATCTCATCTTAACCTTGAGTTACTATTTTCTCCAAATCTACAACTAAGGAACCTGTCTTGATGAGGTATGGGCTTCCAAACAATTCATTTGTGATTTGAACATTTCCTGATATCTCCAGAAAATTGATATGCCTCTCTCCAAGAAGGGAGAGAGGTAATTTTTGGAGTCCCCTATTCCAGTATTGGAGGGGTCCTTACATACCTCAAACTAGAAATTCCCAGACATCAAGAGGGTGTCCAATAATTCCACTTAATTTTAACACAATCTACCAGAAGATGGCATCAGATGCCTCACATAGAGTTGAGTCCCCCAGATCATCTGTCATTTCAAACATAAGTCATAAGCCCTGGCTATAACTTCTGTTTCAGACCAAAGAATGGCAGGAAGGTCCTTATGAGAGAAGGCCTCAAAATACCCATAGCTGACTCTCACATTGGACCAACACCTTCATACTCAAAGAATGACCCACAAGCCCGGATCTGCATTCAACATCAACTAGGAGCTAGGGTGAAAATACAGATTCTCTGGGTAACCCTAGACTTCCAATTTACTGCTCTGCTTCTGGCAACAGTGCGTTATGATCCTGAAGAATAATCTTCTCCCAGGGTCTCAGTAGAGATCAGAGTACTTGAGAGGCACCATTCTACATCGTATTGTGATGAGGGACACAACTTCTAATTCCCTTATTTAACTCCAAATAGCCACAGTAAAAATATTTAGACTCTTTCGAGCTTTTTTACAGAGATAACTCCGTAAAAAAAGAGGTTCCTTATCTGTTACACCTAATGAGGGGTAGAGCTGAATGCCAAGTAACTCTATAGAACACTTGGCAAGAGAATGCTTGGTGGAAGCACTTAGAGAGAGATAAACAATAGACACATGTGAAAAAGGGTCTCCTTGCTTCTGAGCTTTCGATTTGCACCCAGGACTTGGAGGACTTGGAGCAAACACATGGAGTCAAGGCATTTAGAGATACTTGGAGGAGGTGTGTGGGTCAGAGACATGTGAGGAGGTTGGCAATGGCGGCCATTATCTTGATTTGTATTTTAATTTTTTCTCCTTTCATCCCAGACTTGTATGGCCCCTTTTGCTCTTATCTTATGGTCCCCCTCCAGAAGGTGCCTTAGACTTGTGGTAACCTTTTAGGCTTCAGCAGCCCCACTTCAGGGAGAACCTGTATGACTGGACATTTACCCGTGTGGGTATAGGTAAACTTTTGGTGTGTCATTGGGAAATTATTATCCTTTCTTCTCTTTTCTCTCTATGCACACTGATTCTATTAGAGATCTTTCACACTAACAGTATGCTTTGTCTTTATGCGGAGGATGGCAAAATCCCTTTAGAGTGTTCAAGCTTGGGCAACCCCAGGATAGCCCTCGGTCTGCCCACTAACATTGCTAAGTTCCACTCTTGGGAATATCTGCAATCTGCTTTTTCTTGGCAAATTATATTATTTCTCCAACTCTTGTCACCTTCCCTGTTTTAGTTTATATATAACTTACTGCAAGCATTTAACTCATGTTTGATGTAAACAGAAATATGAAATGCTTTCATGTCTGTTTCTGTCCCAAGTAGAATTTTATTTTTCACAATTATTGATTTATTCCCCTCTTCTGTTAGGAGTGTACATTCCCACACATTGCTTTGAGTCTTGAATGCATATCACATAGAAGGAGAGCTATTTCAACTTTAAATTTGGCCACATGGCATGTCTTGGCAAATAGAATGTGTAAAGACATGACATGATTCTGCCAAAGAAGAAGCAATAAAAGTCTTTGTGTGATTTCACCCTTTATCTGCTTTTTTTCTCTGTTATACTGGAAATCTCTCACACAGTACCTAGTTGTGTTCCCAGAATGAAAATACACATAGAGCAAAGCACAGCTGTGTCAGAGTCTCAGACATCCTGAAGCCTACATGAAGTGAGATTATGAAGAAATATCTAATTTTAAGCCACTATGATGTTAGGATATACTTGTTACAAAAGATGAAGATAGACTCCTTCGTGTGATATTTAATATAAATTAATTTTTAGCTATAATCTGGGCAAACACTGCAGAATATAGGTTTGTTTTAGTTTGTGTCATCACATAATTTGGAGTTTTGGAGTTTGAAACTCCAAAATAATAAAGAAAGCCTGAAACTTTAAAAATATTTTAAATATAATCATGGTTACTCTCTTCTGTTCCCCACTGGTTTGAGTATAAAAAAGCTTAGAAATGATAATAAAACTAATTTATATTTCATTTATTTTCTGAAATATTTAAATAGTTTTTGCTTTCCAAAA